GCTTTATTTGCAAATTTTGAGTCGCTTTGTTGCTGTAAAGACGCTGAAACCTACCAGTGTGAAATGAAAGGCTCAGGACAAACACAGAGGCCGCGAGATCTCACATCATCCGTGTGCGGGTGAAAACTGGAAAATTTGTTAATAAAGCTCCCACAGCAAAACCCTGTGACGCATTCACTCAGCGTCTGGGAAAGCTAAACATGGAGACGTTGTCCGAGGCTTGAGCAAAATCATATTTGAACGTCAGCCATCTTACCCCGTCGTATTTTGTTTGAGAAAGCTCTCGTTCTCAACGCCCTCACCAGGGAAATAAAACGTCGTACGAAACGTATTGCTAGATATTCCAACGAACTAGGTTTAAGCTGTATCCTTTCAGGGGTTTTCTCATAATACCATGCTTAAAACGAACAAGCTTTTGCGCACACAGTGCTATCAATTTTTTCTAGTGTATGCTGTTTTGTGGTCAGCTGGTTTAGGAAACATACGCCGTCTGTAAATATCTCTGACAGCCGAGTTGCTTAATTGGAAGTCATCACAAATATAAGTTACACGTTGCAGCAGCCAACGTTTATAAATAAACGATGGCAGCGACTGAGGGGCACTCTCGTACTCCCACCCATCACGTCGAACAAAAAGGCTCTAGTTTCGGTTTGAGATTGGTACTTTTCTACAACATCTATAGCGGCAGCGTCAGTCTGCACTCGGTGCATTCGGCAAGCCGGTTCTCGGTGCAGCACTCCGCGGGTGCAATGCATTAGAACTCTCACAATTGAAGTCTGGATCGTAGATCGGGAGCCCGTCGCTGGCATCACTGGTGGCCATCGCTTGACAACAGGCAATACACGCAAGTCTATGGCAGAAATACGCAAAAGGAGGAAGCTTGTACGCGGTGCTCGAGGCCGAGTATTTTATGGCATGCTGCGATCATTATATCAAGTGCTTGAAGATGAAATAGACATTAGTCAATGGGCCAGAGCACCACCGACTTTACCCACGTCGCTTGCCTCGGTTGCTAAATAAATGACACGTTCAGCGACTGAACGGCACACTCCGAGTTTCAGTTTGTCACGGAAGCCCTCACAGCAGTTCAAAGAAAAAGCTTTCACCAGAAGTACTATAGACCAGCGGTTAAAACGATTTAAATGTCCCCAGTAAAGGCCTTCTAACTTACCGTTTGCTGACCTCTGATGACTCTGAGATCACGAATGACTGCACAATAACTCTTGGTTACCCTTGTTTCATTAAACACACCACACTTAAAGGGGTACTCCGCCGATTTTTGAGCTACCTCAACTAACTATATTTTCTGACTCCCCGGCCTTTACCCTTTCTGGTATGCTATTGAGTATCGTGAAATTTATAATAGTTATTGCAAAATCGGCAAATGAAAATGATGCGAAAACCAACATTCAAATATACCCGCCCTTTTCAGTGCCGTGACGTCAGTGAAAGGTCAGCTTGCCAGTCGGGCGAGCAGTCTAAAAAATAGAATATGCCAATCATTTGTTCCGTGCTGGAGCGCGGGTCCTGGAGCGAGCTTCCAAAGCATTCATTTGACACCATGAAACTGCTTCCAATTAGTTGGGAACAAATTCTACAGTCCAAAGAGTGAACCCCTGCACTTCCACTGACGTCACTTTTTCGCTGTTGCCAGTAGAGACTTTCAGTTTGAAAAACACGGTGAGGACCACAATTGTAAATTCAATAACTTCGTGAAAAAAACTTATTTTGACCCAATATTTGGGATACTATTTTGGCGATGTTGTTTGGCGAGTTTAGCAAAATTTCAAGCAAATCGGGGACCATGAAGAAATCGGCGGAGTACCCCTTTAACGCCCAACAAAGTCGCCCTCGACCCTCAACGACAAAACATTTATTTTAAAAGGATTGGTATTCTAACGCGTTTAATATTCTCGCCCACGATATTAACTGTTATTTGTGGAAAACACGATAGAAATTTCATGGTCGAGAACAACCTACTAACGTAATAAAATTGAGTTTTCCCGTTTCTCCTATCGCAAGCAATACCTCGTGTCAAGCGATGACTGCCGGTGGTGCCGCTCGACCACAGCAATACAGGCTTCTATCCGCGATGGGAGGCACTCACTTGATCGAATGACGTTTTAGCGAACGGCCACGTTTCACCGAACGACACTTTAGCGAATAGTCGGACGCCGCGCAGCGGCGTTTTCGGGTGGGCCAAATGGGTTCGCATTTTTGTAATGAGCCGCCGCAGACTGTCGCCGGCGAAGCGGCGTAATGCACAGCGCGGCGAATGGGTTAACGCGCGCCCCCGTTATTCGCTAAAACGTAGATTTCCTCAAATGTCGCTGTTCGCTAAAACGTCATTCGCTCATCTGATATGGACCCGCGATGACAGCGTAAACAGCACCACACTGCCAAATCTCGAGCAAAGCCTGTTGTCCGCAGCGTCTGCAGCTTCCCTCGGAAGTACTAAAGCGCCACCACACGGGACAGGTTCAATGGGAGTTTCAGTCGTTTAAGTTTCGTTTTCGAGTTGGTCGCTTTGGTGTCGCAGGCATGTGAACCTTTTTCAGAGAATATTTTTAGTGGAATTTGAGTGGAAAACGCGACATGAGTCTCGTTCACGCACCCAACGACGCCGGCAACCATGCCGTCGGCTCGGGCGAAGCCCCCCTCGGTGGCGGCCTTGCTTTCCGCATGGAAGTTAATCCAACGGCTGCAGAGGCAATCGACGATGGCAGCCGCAACTACTCTGGCAGCCCGGCTCACAATCATCTGGGAGACTGACAGGTGCCCGTCAGTCGCCACCATGCCTTGAAAACTACCAGTTCCGAAGAACCGGAGCACGCAGAGAACTTGCTGTTCCACGGTCATGATATAGACGCGATTGTCCGCCGCCTCTGGAGTCCGGGCGCCGAACAAAGCTCTTCGCACAGCCAACGCACAATGGCCTTCGATAGTCGGTACTGTCGCCGAAAGTCGTCGTCGCGGAGTTGAAACGCGTCCCCGCGTCCCGGTGGTCTCGGTAGCATCGCCGACGATGGCGTAAGATAAGCTCGGCCGCAGTGTACAGCACCGCCATGTTGACAAAGTTTAACTTCGCTTCGATCGGAAGTGAAGATTGCGGGCTCGAACCACGGCTCTCGCAAAGTTCTGAAATGTCACGTTGACGTCAGCGACAACTTCGACAAACGAGGTTTCGAATTACTTCTTTTTTTTTTTTTACACAAACTTTAGAGGGATTTGAAGCTTCAACAGGTCGCCGAGGGACAATCTACAAAGCATTAAGTTTAGCTTGGCGTAAGGATGTGGGGACAAACGGGCGATACGTAATCGGCGCAGTCGTTCAATCAGCGCGCTCCTTGCGCGCTCCACGCGCGCCTCGATAACTTTGCGACATTCTGCCGATCTCGAATAAATGAGCATTCTAATGATTGACACCTTGCTCGGCGCGACGTCAGCGTTGCGAGAGTCCAATTAGGGCGTTCCGCAAACTTCGGACCCAACTTTGTGTTCGATGAGTTTAGCGACCCTGATTTCTGCAGCGCAGGTTTTGGATCCACGCGCGGCCGAGCTGCTGTGCGTTAAGATATTAAGCCATTTATTCACTGTGATTAATCTGCGGTGCCCAAGCAAGTCAGCCGAACCAAGCTCACGCATGGACGCGAGCGCTGCACAGTCGGACGCACGCCCTCGTCAACAATCAATCCATAAACGAATATTCAGACTCGGGTTCGTTCCCAGTGAACACTGATGCGGCAAGTATCATCACTCGCGAAAGACAAGTTCTATGGTGTGCTCAAAAACCAAGGCGGGAGCGAATAATCGCATCCTGTACCCAAGCACGTCACAATTTCGTGAATCTTCATTTCGCTATTGAGCTGAGGATTAAAGTTAAGCAGGAAGTAGTTGAAAAATCATGCTTTTGCGCAGAGCCGCACTGACGTTGACATCACAGGGAGATATGGGAGCTTTTGCACGGGCTGCACGAATAGTTGAATTGGCGTAAGATCTCTTCGGAATTGGACGAAAAGCGAGGCATTAAAATACTGCCATAGGCACACTTAAATTGGCGCACAGGGCATGTTTCGACGTTAGATTTACTAAAAAAAGAAATTGAAACTCTGTTAATTCAAGAATGACGCTGTACCAAAAAAAATAAACGTTCAAATATCTAGGTGTTACGCTTGCAGCTGATTTCGCAATGGAACACACATATCGACGATGCTGTTATGACGGCCGGGCGAGCACAAATATTTCTGCGTCAAAACTTAAAAAAAAACAAGAAAAAAAAACATTAATCCAATTTATTAGAAAGCATGCATTTGTTGTCTATGTGCGTCCGGTGTTGGAGTATGCCTGCGCTGTTTAGAACCTTCTCCAAAGAAACCACGTTGAAATTCTAGAGGGATTACAAACCCGTGCTGCTCGCTTCGCCCTGGGACGGTACGACCGCTATGTTAGTGTCAGTGCTATGATACAAGAACTAAGATGGAATGGATTGGCACTACGACGAGAATTTATACGATTCAAATTCTTATGCAGTGTAAATCACAAAACCACTTACCTAAAAACTTCGTCATACCTTTACCTCAAAATGGTATTTCACAACGTAAAGATAACATCCATAAAATACGTGAGCTTCGTACCTCAATGAAATTGGGTAATAGTTCGTTTCTTTTTTAGAACTACCAACGAATGCAATGTTAAACCTATTGAGACTGCAACACAGTCTGAAGTTGAGCTAGTCGGTGCATACTGGTAACGGAAGGAAGCAGCGCAAAAAAAAAAAAAGACAAGTACAAGTAGACGAAAGACACAAACACAGCGCTTATTGACGACGACGTCTTTTTTCTTCTTTTTTTTTCCCCCTTCTACGGTAATGTCTCATGCAGGCGCGGTGGCTCGAAAGTAAGAATAAAGATAGAAATGCGCGGCATAAAACGTGGAACGTTCGCACGCATGTTCTTCTAGACCTTGGTTTATTCAATGTGACCGTTCTCCTTCCTTTTTAGGATATTCCGCCGGTATGCTTCGCTGCGGAAACGGAGCACGACCAGCAGTCGTGGACCGAGGCTCTGCGCACCAGGGCCCAGGCGTGCTCGCTGGACATCCAGGGGCTCAACCTCGAAGGATGCGCCAACTTGGCCGCAGGTATACGCCCCGTCCTCTCAGCACACTGACTCGTTGCTAGAAGTGAAGAAAAGCAATAGATAACTATTAAAAACAAATAATTAACACTAACATTAGGAAATAGGGCGGGTGGGAATGGGGATAGACAGTTTTAGTGTTGCGTCTTGAAGCTAACGCAAGCGCGTTGCGTTTACGATAGCGTTGCGTGTACCCCACGCTGCGCTTGCGCCTCATCGCGCCGAATCATGAAACGGTTTTTTGCACTGCGCACGGGCGATGTAAGACACGCAACGCTAACGGCAACGCACAGTGCTTGCGTTTGCTTATGTACACAATACGAAAGCTCACTCATGTATGTAGATTCAGATTCGCACACATTATGCAAACAGCAAAGTGCTGTTTATTTTAACAAGTTGAACTCTGACGGGAGAAAATGGCTGTGTCTAATTAGTCTTGCTGTCACCAGTTGTATTGAGGCCTTAATTCAAACGAAAGGTTTGTTTCTCTCCTATTTCTAACAATAGTGGCGATTTTGAGGTAAATACGAGATAATAGTACGTAGCATGGCCATTTGCACAGAATAGTTGTTTTGTCATAGCGCCCTGTCATAAACCAAAATATTTTGCATTTGCATTTGATAAGCTATGCCCACCGTTCTTTTTATCAAACAAAACGAAAGCATTCTGCTCAATCATGGAAAGGTGGGGGGACTGTTATTCGGTGATTGTTGCTTGCAGGGTGTTATGGAGTGGGGTGCTATCGCTGTTCCATTCTCGATTATATCGTAGCAAGCGTTTAGTGCCTTCTAAGCTTCAAAGCCGCTCCACAGCGAAAGCACTGAGTAGATCGGTAGCAAAATTATTTTACCGGATGAACAATTACTAGTTTAAGAAACATGTAATTTTAAAGCTTTCTGCCGCTAAACGTAATAAAAGCGCATTCGCAGCAGCGAAAAGACCAATACCAGCAATTTAACCACCAGAATGCAGCTGTTTAGTAATTGTTTCCTCAGAAAGCATTGCATAGATTCGAGACCTTCTTGCCTTAGCAAAAGAATTTGAAGAATAAGCAAGTCACATATAAAAATATATAAATTTATTTCGCATGGTTTTAAATGTAATGAACCATTTGCGAAAGTCTCAAAACTATGAGCGCCATTGAATGTTCTGGACGCTTCGCAATCTAGTTGCTTCTCCTGGTTCTAGTCGTGAGGAACACTGGTGGGATTCCGGAGTACGCCAGGCTTTCGTAAGAGCTTATAGAACGACCCAACACACAACTTGAGGAAATGTGTCTTGATGTATAAAGATAATTCTGCACTCAACATTTAAATTAGTATGGCATAAATTGCTGTCAGTCTGAAGTTAATGAGAGGCCATGATCTAGGCCCGCGTAAAACATCACTGTTAGAAAAAAGACCACCTAAATACGAAACATGATGCTTTTAACTTTGTTGCCACAACATTTTTCATATCCCTGAATTAGGGAACATGTACAATAATTCCTTAATACGGGACATGTTGCGGCAACAAGGTTAGCATGCATGTGTCCCACACACCCCTATGATGGTACAAATGGTGTTGGCTGCTAGCTAATTAAGGGAAGTGTGCCATTATGTTTAAAACCGCACATGTTCTATTGGAAACGATGTTCGCACATGTCCCACTTTTTCATGTGACTGCACACTCACCATTTTGTACAAGATGTCCCCCAAAATTGGCGTTTGTTATTTTTTACTTCAAAAATGAATTATGCTTTGTCGTCGAGCCCTCAGCTTGCACCCGAATTTGGCGCAAACAGTCTGAAACAAATGACAAAGTTTAGGAGCTTTTCTTTATTTGATTCAAGCGTTTTAAGTTACTTTCGGAATTTCTTATGTAGGGAACCGACTGCCCACAAATACATGGAAATCAATGCCACGAGTTTACAGGAATGGGCCCTACTTTCCCATTGAAACTTTTTGAACGTCACTTATAACTAGGGTTCCGTGTTTTCGGATAAATTCGAAAAACTCCGAAAAACTCCCGCCGGTAAAATTTTGGTCAATTCGGATTTATCCGATAAACTTCGAATCTTGACGAGCCAATGCCCCCCCCCCCCCCCCCCTTTCGCCCTTCCCAAAGAACACAAAAACAACTAAAGACGGCATTTCACAATTAAGTTTGTTCAGCACACTGAGTCATTTGTCACGGGAAAATGCCACCACAGTTATCTTTCAAATCTCGGATCATTGACAAAATGGGTCTTACCGGTTATGTCGTCAAGGTTCAGGAGGAGTTGTCATTGTATTTTCAGGTCACAACAAAATCATCTGTATTGGTTTCCAGTTTGGGCTATGCTATTTGTGTTTGAAGAGGAAGGAGGGGCTGTGTTTTTGTAACAATGAAAGCTGTGGACCCTAGTGATTGCATAAAATTGGGAAGAGGTGTAGTTGAAACTTCCCTATTCCGTCCTTTACCACTCCACCTCGCACGGCCGCGGGGTAGCATGGAATAGGATGGGATGAAGACGTGCTTCCCAGCGACTACCTCCAGGAGTTTATTTTTAAGATATCGACGTTTATCGAAGCCACATAGGTGTGCAACTTTTGCCATGAGACAAATTAGTATTTCCAATGGCAATGCCACCAACACCAAATCCAGCTAAAGAAATATGAATTGATATAAGCGCGTTATATATTTCTTTATGTTGCGTACGCTTACACCCGGATAATATTTATTGATTTGCGTAGGAAAGATTGCGAAATTAAGTACCAAATTTCGAAGATTTTGGAATCAAACAAAAATAAACTTCGAATTTCCGAATAAAATAAACTCCGTAAAATCACCCTCCGAATTTGACGAAAAATGAACTCCGAAAACACGGAATCCTACTTATAACTATCGAATAAGATGGCAAATTTTGAAACATTGGAATCTGGTTTGGACTGCTAACGCTATATTTAAGAACAGACTGAACGTTTGTCAACACATACTTTATTTTTGCGGTGAAAAAGAAACACTATAAATATTTTTAGGGGACACGCTGTATCATTGAACAGATTGTATATATCCAGTTCTGCAAGATGTACTTTAAGGCTCGGAACAGAGCTAAAAATTGGGGTGGTGTCCCTGAAGAACTCGCTGGGTAAACCGCTTGACTTCTTGTATCAGGAGATTTCCAAGGTGCCGGTGTTAGTCGTCATAAAATTTCCAAATGAATGATTGTTCAGAGCCGAATGGCAGCTGCTGTTCTGCAGAGCGAGCGCTCGGCTGTACATGACGAAGAGTTGCACATGCACAGTGTGATGTCATGTAAATGGTGGATGTAATGTATACACGCTTTGCAGCAGCTGTACATTGGCGCCGCCATAATTTACCTTCAGTTTTTGTTTCCTCATATTCCGTTTACTTCACTTCATTATTACCATACCAGGCGAGGTTATTGACATGTTCGGATCTACTGTGTCCTCCCCAGTATTATCCTCTCTAAAGGCTCCTCAACACCCATTTTACTGGCTCGGTATCTCAGTAAGACAAGAGAAGATCAACAATGGCGGATGTAATCTGGTGCATGTGCAATCCGCCTGCCCTATACTAACGTTGGAAAAATTGCGGTTGAAGACTTGAAGCCTCAGAGCGCCGTGCTCAACATGTTTTCCAACGGTCGGCGCAGGGACTGGTTCTATTTGATTGAGTGGCGTGATGTTTGGGATTGATTATAATGCAAATAAATGTAAAGGTGCAAGCGAGTTGAACAAGAATGACGATAATATTCTTTGGAGAAGGGGAACACAGGAGACAAAGGACAAACACAAATCTCAAAACAGGGCTCCCATTCTCCAGGGGTTATTATCGTCATTCTTGTCCATCTCCATTGCACCTCCCTCCGGAAATTAAAAACAGCGCGGAAAGACGAGGACCAAACAAAGAAGTGACACGGACGTAGCGCTGACTTACAACTGAGTTTATTGAACGAAAACTCGCAATATTTATTTGCGGTGTCACGAACAAAAGAACATAAAAAATTCAGCCCATGTGATGTATCACCAATAAAAATAAAACAATGATAAAAAACATTAAAAAAAAACATTGAAAAAAATAATAATGAAATGCGCCATGACACAGCCGTACAGAGTATGTGCTAAAAATCGAGCAAGTCACGGAACTAGAAAATTCATCTCTTTGCCTGATAGGGCCACAGAAGGACTGCTTACACATGCTGCACCCAGCCTCGCTATCTCAACAGCCTCTAGAATTTCGCGAGTAAGCTGGTCCCTATGACGCTTAACAACCTCACACCGTTGGAAGTCGGGAAGGCAACCACAGTCGCGGCAATGAATGCCCAGGTGACCAGACACGGTTGTGGAGACACTGTAAGCGTGCTCTCTCAACCTGTCGTTGAGACAGCGGCCCGTCTGGCCAACGCAGCGCCTGCCACACGTCAGAGGGAGAAAATAAACAACCCCCTCCGAACACGGGACAAAGCGATCTCGATGCCTCGTACTGCAAGCCGTGGCCGCCCTCGAAGAAGGGTTAACAGCTCTGCACAACCTGGACAGCTTGTCCGGGGCAGAGAATAAAACGTCGACGTCACACCTGCCAGCAATGCGTTTTAGGTTGTGGGACAGGCCGTGTACGTAGGGAATAACCACAAACTTTCTTCTTTCCCTTCCCTTTCTGTTGTTGGCCTCTTCTTCACTTCTCATAGGGCTGCTCTTGCCCTATGAGACGTTTTATTCTCTGCCCCGGACAAGCTGTCCAGGTTGTGCAGAGCTGTTAACCCTTCTTCGAGGGCGGCCACGGCTTGCAGTACGAGGCATCGAGATCGCTTTGTCCCGTGTTCGGAGGGGGTTGTTTATTCTCTCCCTCTGACGTGTGGCAGGCGCTACGTTGGCCAGACGGGCCGCTGTCTCAACGACAGGTTGAGAGAGCACGCTTACAGTGTCTCCACAACCGTGTCTGGTCACCTGGGCATTCATTGCCGCGACTGTGGTTGCCTTCCCGACTTCCAACGGTGTGAGGTTGTTAAGCGTCATAGGGACCAGCTTACTCGCGAAATTCTAGAGGCTGTTGAGATAGCGAGGCTGGGTGCAGCATGTGTAAGCAGTCCTTCTGTGGCCCTATCAGGCAAAGAGATGAATTTTCTAGTTCCGTGACTTGCTCGATTTTTAGCACATACTCTGTACGGCTGTGTCATGGCGCATTTCATTATTTTTTTCAATGTTTTTTTCAATGTTTTTTATCATTGTTTTATTTTTATTGGTGATACATCACATGGGCTGAATTTTTTATGTTCTTTTGTTCGTGACACCGCAAATAAATATTGCGAGTTTGCGTTCAATAAACTCAGTTGTAAGTCAGCGCTACGTCCGTGTCACTTCTTTGTCTGGTCCTCGTCTTTCCGCGCTGTTTTTAATTTCCGAAGTATGTACCAACTCGCCCAAGCCTCAACTTTAGCTCCATTGCACCTTTGCATTTAATTGCATTATAATCATAACCTTAAAAAATGCAAGTCGTTCACCCCTGTTGGTATTAGACTGATGGCAGCTGATAAAACCCGTTTGCTTTACTGACGTCTAACTTCTGGTCAGCTCAGTTAGTAGAGCGCTCCAATGGTAATGGATAGGTGCTTAGTTCGATACCAGAACCTCGCGGACTTTTTTTTTTTTTGTGGCGCATTAGTCATTTGGTTTTGTTTGGAGATTTGTGTTTGCCCTTTTTCCCCTATCTTCCCCTTCTCCAGGGGTTATTATCGTCATGTTGGGTCTGTTTTCCCCCGCACTCTGCTCGCTAGGTGCTGCGCTTTGCGTAGAGGTGTGCTCTCGCGGAGTAAGGCGCTCTTTAGTCATAGGGGAAATTGAGGCTCATTCCCTAACTAGCTCATTTGTGTTTCTACGGTACAGTGTTTGTGAACGAAAACAGTACATTGGATGTAATATCGAAAAAAATCTTTTGTTTGACCTTTCTTCGTAGAATGGTGGTACAGTTCCTGTTTGGGAACGCAAACAATGCATTGGATGTAGAGTCGAAAGACGGGACGGGACATGTTCTATTCACATTCTCTCCGTAGATTTATAGTTCTTTTTTAATGCGTTAAGATTAGTGCCCTCCCTTACAAAAAAAAAAAATTGAGCCCGCGTTTTTTCAGCTAATCGGCCAACCACACGGGATCGAACGGTTATAGACTAAAGTGTCTGAGATTTAGATGAAAGGCCTGTAGAATTTCTGTCCTATGTTAAGACATTTTAGTGTATACCTTTCGTATCCAAATTGAAGTGCCAATTATCTGAAGAAAGTCGTTAAAAATGCCGATATATTGTGGATAGGAAATAGTGCAAGAATACCTGTAGATCTTCTATTCAATGTTCAGACACTTCAGTCTACAGCTTTTCAATCCCGAGTGGTCGGCCAATTAGTTCAAGAAACGCGATAAAACGGTGAATACATTGTGAATAGGAAAGGTTAGCTAGAGCTCCGGTAGACTTTTAATCTGGAAATATCAGACCATTACGCCTAGATAGCTTGTATCCAAAGTGACCGGCCCCGGCTGATGTCGGTCTCCGTGTCCACCGCAGCCATATTTAGGTTGTACTCCAGAAGCATGTCATCTGGGAGAGCACGACGTAGGACCGGACAGAGCATTGCACAAAAGGAGTCCCTGACGCCTTGAGTCCTCGTATGCGAGCTTGTAGTTTGTCGTACAAACGTCCCAGGCCTTTAGTGTTGCGTAACGACGATACATGAGGAATATCTATCAGGCCCTCCATGCAGTCTTCGATGAGTTCTTCCGGGCCTACGAACGTCTTCCGCAGGAGGCCCACGGCGTCGGAGAGCGCTCTGTGGTTGCCTGTTAAGCCGGCAATGGCAGCTGCTCTATCGCGGCTCAGCGCGGATTGCAGGTAGTTGAACCTTTCCGCCAAAAAAAGGTCCGAGTTAAGATGGATGACGGTCTCGAACGGTTAACGAAACGGCTGCCAATTCTTCCGTTGACCGTTGAATTTCAGAAGTTCAAGTTTTGGGAGTTTAATTCTCGACTTCGCTGGCGTTGGCGATCTGTTCGTGCTTCCGACCAAAATACTCTCGTTGCATGTATTGCCGCGTTCCGCACAGCATCTTAGCTGGCTCTTCAGCTTTGTCAAGTAGGTCATGATCTTGTCCTCATATTCGATGACGTGGAGGGATTCGAGGTCTGCGTCTTGCTCCGAAATGAGTGGTTCGATGGTGGCGTCGACGGCGTTAAGTTGACCCTGAGCCAGGACCAGTCGTTCGGTGGGTAGCTTTAGGTCATCGCTGTTGGGTTGCGCTGACTGTAGCAACGTATCAGCGTCGTTCACTAGCCGCATCACTTGTGACCGAATCTCCTTGCGCTTTTTCTTGTGAACTTCCATGTGAACTTCTATGCACACGTATTTCGCAACATCGCCACGGGATGATACCACGACACCATTAGGAACGGGAGCCGCACTGGATTGGCTGGTTATAGGGAGTGACGCCGTGACTTAACACCCAGCAACCGAAGATCGCCGGCGACGTCCCCCTTCGCAAATTTCGACTCCGCGCAGTGGCGGACGGTGGGTGTATCACTGGGTCACGTGTTAACCCATCGTCCCCCCCCCCCCCCCCCCCCCCGTTCACGACGCTTCGCGGCGGCAGTCTGCGGATGGCTCATTACAAAGTATTAAACTATTAACCCACCTTGAACCACCCGTACACCCGCCGGCGGCAAAAGTACGCCCTACATTGTAAAAAAAAATCCGGTCTACAAAGGTTCCTCGACGCCCGAAACACTCCTTGAGCTCGTGAAAAGTCGTTTCGCCTCAAGCACTATCGCCCCCTGGCGCCCTAGAAAGGCAACTGGGCGATAAGGCACTCTTTCGTATCAGAAAACGAGCTTAAAAGAACGCCCTATAGGTTTTTCACAAAGGACCCATTTAGGGGTGCTTAAAATAACGTTTTAGGTTAAAAAACATGGACAAGCCTAATAACCCCGAAGAGTTATTTTACGAATTTGTTTTTCCCAGGAGTGTAACACCGCTGTTCCCTACTGCACCTCGGTTGCTAGGTGTTACGTCATGCCTTCGCTCTTCATAACCAGTTAATCCTGTGCGGCCGCCGTCTTTCATACAGACGCTAATTGGCCTTATTTGCTTCCACCAGGGGGAAGAGGGGTTTCGGGAATGTTCACCCCGCGTAAAAATACTGAGAGGCTGCATTCACCATGCTTTGTTATATATAACTGCTGCGAAAATGCTGACGTATTTTTTTTTTAATCGACGTGGCGGCTGCATATATATTTTTTTTAACATTGGCGTATGTAGGTTTTTATGCTGCAATGTTCTCTTTTAGGACCTTCCAGAATCTAGAACAAGTAGCTTTAAAAATGGTTTTGGTTGTTTGAGTAGCTCGTGCTCTGAACTCACGAACCATCCGAATCATTTTGGTTTGGCCACGACTGCGCTCAAGTTGCTAAGAAGACCAACTGTGAGCTCGCAGAGTGACACTTTACGCGTTTTCAGGCATCCGCGAGGTCAGCAAGAGAGACGAGAACGTGCTGGCGCAGACCCTGGAGCTACTGGATGAACTCCTCAAAAAAAAGACCCAAGGGCAGAAGCTGAAGAAGGGCCAGGTGCGTTCCCTTCTTTCAGTCCCCGTGGCAGAAGCTGAAGATAGGCCACATGACAGTTCCGTTAGTTTTGTCTTGGCTGTCTGCTCACAACCACAAAGAATGTAAATCCTCGAGTACTGTTAGAAAAAGGAACTTAAAACCGAGACACTTTTTACGTCAACAGACTACGAATATGCCAAAGAAAGGATAAACTGGCTTTTCTTTTTCTTTTTTGACATGACACTTTAAAAAAAAAAACGTCCCCTCCACTTGATGTACCAGGTAGCACTGGTGGATGCTGAAGCCTTCACCGATCATATGAAAGGCGCCACGCTAGAGCCATACTTCTTGGATTGATGTTTGTGGAAAACGCAGAGGTTAGCCATAAGGCACCACTGGTAGCCGCCCTCGCAATAAAAGAGCACACGAGTGACTTAAAATCATTGGAGTGAGTTGCCCTTGGTTAGGTGTTGATGAATGTGCCGGTTTCTTGGAACCCCCAAAGCATACGAAAGCCACTAAATGGCCGCACATGAAACACACGCAGCACTGGCAGGTTTTGCGCGTTACATTCCTTGGTTTTGTAGATGTTTACTAGATATCATCGAATGAAAAGCTAAAGAAGTTCTCAAATGACATTCTTTTAATGGCAAGACAATATAAAAGCATTCTTTTGCGTTTCTTAAACACCGCGTGTTAGTCTACAGGAATTCCCGCTGGTATCTGAAACTTGAAAACACGTTGAAGAAGTTATTTATACAAAACATTATTTGTTCTTTCATCGGAGTTCTCTCCACTATCTCCTTACTGAGCGACTTTGTTCGAGGTGTTCCTCAACCTGTCGATGTCTCGTTCAAAATGACGGCGGGTTCGGCCTCCCCGCAGGACCAGCTGGGCAATTCCCAGGAAGGCGTGGACGAAGTGGAGCAAGCCTCTATTATGGCGCACCAGGAGGCACTGAGAAAGGCGACGCACCTCAGGCAGCGAAAGATCTCCACCGAACTCAAGGTATGTACGGCGCCTTATGGCCGCGCCTTGCTTCGAGCATGCAAGCGGTACAAAGGAGGGCGAAAATTTGCCATCTTGGCATATCGGTCTTATGGACCGACTCAACTCTCTTTCGCCACGCCACTGTGGTGGCGCTGCTGTCGGCACCGCGCATGCGCAGTTGGTCCGCCTCACGAGAATCTGGTTTCTGCGCAGCCTCAGTGCCCACAACCGGCGACGCGGGATTGTCTGCGAACAGTGTGTTGGTGGATAGGGTAGATGTGAAGAGCTGGATCCAACAACATCAAGCAAATTATATTTACCTAGTAATTCGTGTTAGTTTAAACGGAAGACACGCAGCGAAACATAATATCATGCTTTGCGCGCAGTAGATTACATAAAATGAAAGACATTTTAGGAAGATATAATCTTGTATTTCGTGGTGTGGACGATTAGGCTGGAGAAACGTGGGCACTGGCGGGGGAGAAGGGAGTTCGTTTACTTTTAGACTGTTTATTTTAATGCCTCACGCAAACAAGTTGTTCGTGCTGTCGTTTCGACCCTTTTAGTAAAGTTTCAGTTGAAAGAAAGTGTTTTGCAGGCCAAATCCAAATTAAAAAAGCAAAACAGTCCTATTTTTGTTTACGACGGGTTTTGCTGTGCGCAAACTACTGTAGAACGGGAAAACCAGGAAAGCCCGTTTAAGCTAAGCTATAAGAAACCTTTTGTTAATAACAAGCGTTATGGGAACAATGAAATCAAAGACGTGTGATAATAAGTTTCAGATGACTGTTTCGCTGGGGTGTTGCCTGGGTAGTACAGTACACCCGCCGGGTATTATACTATACTACACCATACTATAATATAGTATGTGTCGTTCTAGATAAGATAAAAAGACTATGTCCGGTGTACATTTTTATTTCATCCGAAATAATATATTTTGATAATTGTGCACGCGAAACAACGTTTTCAAACTTTTTTTTGTGAAAAATAAAGTTTGTCTTCTACAATGAATATAAAAAATCTGCTGTAGATCACATGCGCGTTTCCAGATTTTCGCGAAGTTGGCATTTTTGACAACTACTGAACACAAATAGACCGTTTGCTAAATCCCCCTTCTGAGCGTATTCCGGATGTTATCCTGAATAAGCAACGTAATGATTGGAAAGAAATGTCATATCACTTTTAAAATGTCTCCTCAATGTCAGTGTTTCTATTTGGATGCAATCCGCGCTTCAACCTGCCTGAGCTGCAGAAATATTTTGCTATACTAACACATTCGTCATTATTGTTTTAGCAGGAATGGCTTAAAAAGCCGAGAATTCAGAACAACCCAAACAAGGATTTAGCTTGGAGTCAGCGTGGCTGTTTAAAGCATTTTTAGCGTTTCAAAGTTAATATCAGCCTCTTTGAATATGCACAAGAATGACAATGTTGTAACAGATTTCTGCAGCGCAGCCAGGTTGAAAGGTGGACTGCATACACAGTGTGAAAAGGCTGACATTGAAGAGAAAAATTTTAAAAGTGATATGACAAGTCTCTGCAATCTATATGACGCTTATTCAGGATGCCTCGGGATTACGCTGAAAAGCATGTGAGCATCAAAATTTGTTGAAATATTGATGACTAGGAAACTAAAGGAACACTGTTCCCGCGATTCCTTGAGTGCGGGCCGGGGTGCTTGGGGGATTTAGGAAATGTTTTTTTGTGCACGCCCGAGCTTGATTTTTTTTGTGCTGAAACTGTCAATACAGGAAAACGAGTAAAACATTCTTAATGTATAAAGCGCGAGGTAATTTTGTAATAAAATCGCAAGTTTGACATATGCTGCAAGATTGTCTAAGTTCAGAGCTTTGTACATCCGCATATAAAAAATCTGGAAACCTGAAATTCTTTTATGCGATTGGGACGCGTGTGTTTTCATACAAGTTTTCAGTTTAGTTTAAAACGCGCATTCTTCCCAAAAAGTCACTCAAATACAAAAAGGTTATTCATATTGCAATATTTTGCAAATCATTTTAAAAAAGTGACATCTTCAATCTTTATCTATACTCGGTGAATATTAGGCGAAAGAATGCTAAAATGTATGTAGCAGAGCCGCAACAAAACAAATGCGCATAATACACAACCGCCGCCTGCAGTTTCACCTCGCCTCTTCGTGTGTATGGGTGAGGAATTGCTCATACTGCCGGTTTTCCTTTGTGTTTTAGGGAATTCCGGATAAAACGGCAATTTTTGGAAGGAATGCCGTTTTGACTGGAGGTTGTTCAACCAGTCTGAGCAGGTACTGTAGCTTTGTGCAGAGCTTCCAATCTTGTTTTCTGCGCCACGGGCTGTAGAGAGGCTTTATCTTTTTTTGTTGCTCAGAACGTGCTTCATTTACATACCTACACACCTGTCTTTGTTTGAGGTATGGCCTCGGCGTTTACAGTACGTTTTCAAAGCAGAACTCTGTTTAAAAAGTGTGATTCCTGAGGACTGTACGTATCTGTTCAGCTATTAGATGGCTGCTTGTTCGGGATTGAAAGTTTCGTCAGGTTCCATTCTGTCCGACGATCCTGCAGTGAGCTGCATGAAGCGGCTGAAGCACTTCACACACACACAAAGTACGTTGCTCTGCCGAAAAGACTTCCTCCAATGGAGCCCGCCTTCACAATTACAGTGTCCAGACCAATCACACTTCGAAAGTTATTTTACTAAAACATTTATTTTTCTTTTGTCTCTCCAAGTAATCAGCGCAAAGCACGCGCTTCGAACTCTAATGCACAGCCATAGAAACAGTGGAGGACCCTCAGACACACCTGAGGCGTCACAATCAGTGCTTATAAATAAATCGCTAGCAGCTTGAGCACCACTTTGAAAGGGAGGTCCCAGCTTCATCTCAAAGCTCTAAACCTCTGGGTTTTATGGCGCCTTTTATTGCACGGCCACCCACAGGGGCACTCCGACTGTTGTGCCCTTCGCACCGGCAACCCCGTTCCTTACCTCGCGTGTCGATTTACCGCCGCCAAATTCCCGAGTCAATAAACAGGCGAGTGTAAGCGGAGCCTCTCAAGTTTGTTCCCACACCGGCTTTTGTAAACAAGAGTGAAATTGGGGAGAGTCGAGAAATCGGTTCAATATTTGTATTGTTCAGGAGGGAAGCCCGTCTGTGTATGAAGCCACTCTACATTGACATATTTTCAACAGGCGTTCATGGGACGCAATCGTAGCGGATCACGCTATATTTCCCCTTATTTCGTAGGCTTCATTTCATCCCTGTGGTTGCGAGACAGGTGATTGAGTTTTATACACAAAAAGTGTTATGACCAAAACAATATTTCGTGTTTAATTCGTTATTACCCATTTCAATTTCTGGTGATCTCGTTGAGGTAACTGAAAACCAGCTGTTGCGACGCAAACCTGACGCTCGAGAAAAGAGCCGAATAAACCCCTTTCCCCGGACACGCGTTGCCGAAAGCGTCGCACGATAATCAAAACGCTCCCGATGCCGTCTTTCTTCGCAATATATATATATATATTTTTTTTTTAATTTATCGAAATAAGAGTAATATTAGACAGTCAACTTTTACGGTGTTGACAGTCTGACATTGGGATTAATATTTCTTTCATCGACGGAAATAAGAGCAGTGTCAGACTGTCAACTTTGGCGCTGTTGGTTTGTAAATGCATCGGCTTTAAGCCTCCACCATGCTTTTTACACACTGCATCAAACTTATCGAACTCATCTTTAGACGCTATCCTCCTTTCTCACCTAAGTGATGGGACAGTCCGTAGGGAAGGGCTCTCGTCAGAGTACAGGAATCAGCAAGCGTCCGTCAGATGAACCACGTGACTTCAAAACTCGGTCACGTGTATTCCTCTTCCTGGAGAAAATCTTCGTTGTGTGAGTACATCATAAGAGGAATGTCATACTGTCAATTTTGACGCTGTTGGTGTAAGAATGCGACTTCGGGCTTTCACTAGGATTTTTGGCAGACGCCATGCATCACACTTTTTATTCAACGTCATCTTCTTTTCGCGCCGGAACGATGGGGAAATCCTCGGCTCTCAGAGAGATAGAGAGAAAACCTTTATTTTCGCTCCGAGTCCGGAGCTCCTCGGCTCTCAGCGGAGTATGGGGATTATGAAGCATTCGTGACTTGGCGCACATGACCTCGAAGAGCTATGTATGACCTTTGCTTCTCTCAGTGGAAAAATTCTCCTTCGTGTGAATACACCATTCGAAGCTTCACTATGAGGGATACATGGCGGCGTAGGAGAGCCGGTCCTCGAGTACAGTGCTCCGCAAAATTCGCTTCGACAAAGGAAAAATTAAACGTGGCATTAAAAAAAAAAGAAAAAAAAACTACCTTATTTGTACAGTTGTTAAAAAAAAAAAGTTGATTTTCATTCCAGGGGGTGCGGTAGACAATTTGACAGAAACTAACCATCTCGTGGCTACGTTAATAACTTAAGGCAGCACCGTGCTTCCCCTTGGGTGTATGCAACTTTTCCTTTAAAAACAATAAATGGGACGAAGATAAGAAGGCTCAAACGAGTCACACGTTTTATTAGGCCTAGTGTGGGTGGACAAAGAGCAGTTAGAGTAATCCGAAATTCCGAGCTAGTACTTTGCACATCCATGATAATTTATATGCCACAAGTGCTCTGGTATTCCGCGGAAGAAATTCATAGGATAATGTTTATAAGCTCCTAATTTCACAAAATAATTTCAGTAAAGGCTTTACGTAAGTTGAACTAATTTGTTGATAGCCTGTTTATGGCGGCAGCTAAACACGAGGGAAAGAACAGATAGATAGGAAAAAGAAAAGGCGAACACAGCAAAGGCCCGCCCTGTGTTAGCCTTTTCTGTTTCTTTCTTTATGCGTTCTTTCTTCATGATCAGCTGGCACCATAAACAAATAAATGAAGAAACAATTCTAGTAGATGGGTTTTTCATCTTAGCCCAGGCAAGGGTTTTAGGTAAAATTTTAAGTTTCATTCAAACATGTGTATGTTCTGGAGGCACCCTTGATATG